TTCATCATTCTCAGTGGTCTACAAGCCACGCCCAGAAAGGTCAAGAACTACTGGGACCAATCCCTTTTCTTTTACAGCCCTATTGTGTTGACACGTAGTAGATGCCTAAACACCTGTTGATTTTACTAACTAGTGTGTAAAAAAAGAGTTCTACTGGCTCTAGAAAAGGGGTACTAAAGTACAAACTGGCAAATGGGCTCATCAAGTTCCCCAGATTTTATTTTCTAAACCCCAAATTTCTGTCCCTTAACTCAGAACTTTTCCCTAAATGTTTTTACACCCTGTCAAATAACTTGGAATCTTACTCTAGGGCATAGTGAAACAGAAACACAAGCAAAAGGTAAATGGGGTGTGAAAAGATTCGTAACACTGCTAAGAATGGTTTCTGAAGCAGCAAAAGGACACATTTATTTAATAGGACCCTACATTTTTTTACCCAAATCAGTTTTGTCCTAAGCAGATTTTCAGTGAACTGTGTGCTGCCGAGGAAAACAGATTTCTTAAAGGTAAAAAAGCAAATATGAGCCGGCGCTGTGGCTCACTAGACCAATCCTCTGCCTAGTGGCGCCAGCACACCGGGTTCTAGTCCCGGTCGGGGCGCCGGATTCTGTCCAGGTTGCCCCTCTTCCAGGCCAGCTCTCTGCTGTGGCCAGGGAAGGCAGTGGAGGATGGCCCAAGTGTTTGGGTCCTGCACCCCTTGGGAGACCAGGAGAAGCACCTGGCTCCTGCCATCGGATCAGCGCAGCGCGCCGGCAGCAGCGGCCATTGGAGGGTGAACCAACGGCAAAAGGAAGACCTTTCTCTCTGTCTCTCTCTCACACTATCCACTCTGCCTGTCAAAAAAAAAAAAAAAGCAAATATGAGAAGTATCTGGAGGTTTTTAGAAGTTATAAAAAAACTAAGAAGCTTTTCAGCCACACATCCCCCAGTGTTAACACGTGCACAGTGGCTGAATTTCCTTGTGTCTGGCGGAGGCTCCCTCTCCCCCTCAGCCAGCACATGTGCAGGGCTTCTGTGAATGTCACATTGACAAACATTCCCTGGAGCCAGGCAGCTGGGAACCAGTTCTTTTTTGGTTGTTATTTCGCCTGTCTGCTGGGCTGCTAGTTCTTGCTGTGGCACGATCCTTGAAGGTACAGGCAGGAAGCCAGGCTTTTTTTCTCTCACAGTAAGCTAAGTTGCAGCCCCAGCTCCGAGAGCCCAGGGTTGTGATCGTGGCTTGTGGGACTTGGGTGGCTTCCCCACCCCCTGCTTACTCAACATGGTTCATTCATTCAGCTGATATTTACTGAGTCATGGAAGTGCCTGGCTTTGTGCTAGATATTGAATGCTACAAACATAGAACTGAGTTAGACCTAAACTCTGATGTCACACCATTCACAGACAACCAAAGAAGCATTACAACCAAGTGAGATATAGTCAGTCCTCCATAGCTGTGTGTCCCACGTCCATGGATTCAGCCATTGAAAATGTCTGAAAAAGAAAAAATTCCAAAATTTTCCATAAAGCAAAGCTTGAATTTGTCACACCTTGAGTGCTAGGCTGAATCCATGTGAATGAAGTGATGTGAAGGCTCTCCCTGCTGTGCCTCCAGCCCTCTCAGGTCTCAGTCTCCCTTCAGCACTCTCCTTTGAGCATTGTTCAGCTCACATCTTGTTCATATACTGCATAGTTAGGCCTACAGTGGTTGCATCTGTACTCAACATGTAGACTTTTCCTTGTCATCATTTCCTAACCAGTAAGAACTGTTTACATTTATTAGGTTTTCTAAGTTACTTGGAGATGATTTTAAAGTATACAAGAGGGAGTATGGGCATTTGGCCTAGTGGTTAAGCCACTGGTTGGGACTCATATACCACATTGCAGTTCCTGGGTTTGATATTCAAATCCATATCCTAATTCCATCTTCCTGCTAATGTGTACTGGGAGAGGCAGTGGTGATGGCTCAACTAGTTGGGTCCTTACCACCCACATGGGAGATTTGGATTGAGTTCCTGGCTCCTGGCTTTGACGTGGCCCAGCCCTGTCTGTTGGAGGCATTTGAACCAATGGGTGATATCTCTGTCTGTTCATCTGTCTCTCCAATAAATTGAATAAATAAATACATAATTTTTAAAATAAGATGGACTACCTCTCAATGTATTTTAAAATAAATATACAAGAGAGTATGTTTGTGGCCGGCGCCGAGGCTCACTAGGCTAATTCTCCACCTAGCGGCGCCGGCACACCGGGTTCTAGTCCCGGTCGGGGCACCGGATTCTGTCCAGTTGCCCCTCTTCCAGGCCAGCTCTCTGCTATGGCCCGGGAGTGCAGTGGAGGATGGCCCAAGTGCTTGGGCCCTGCACCCCATGGGAGACCAGGAGAAGCACCTGGCTCTTGCCTTCGGATCAGCGCAGTGCGCCGGCCGCGGCAGCCATTGGAGGGTGAAACAACGGCAAAGGAAGACCTTTCTCTCTGTCTCTCTCTCACTGTCCACTCTGCCTGTAAAAAAAAAAAAAAAAAGAGTATGTTTGGGTTATATGCAAATACTATACTATTTTATATAAAGGACTTGAGCATCTGTGGATTTTGGTATCCTCAGGGGCACTGGAACATACCCCCCACTCCTCTGGGGATTCTGAGGGCTGAGTGAATGTGCTGTAAGAAATACAGTACAAGGTAGTCCTGCTGTATGTATAGGCTGGTATTCAGGGAAAGCTTTCTGGAGGGAGTGGCCTGTAAACTGGACCTGAAGAACCGGATGGTGTTAAGCAGGTACATAAAGAGAAAAGAAAAGCATGCCAGGCAAAAGGAAAGTGCAAGAAAGCTAGGAGGACAGAAGAGAGCTGGGTGCTTTGTGAATTCATTCAGCATAGTGAGCACATGGGGTAGCAAAGGAGCTGTTCTTTCTTACTCCAGAGCTACAGCCGTGGAGACTTACTGGAAGATGCCCCCGTGTAAAGCAGAGCCCAGCTGGGTTGGGTTGCACATGTGAGCCCTAAATAGTTCAGCTGCCCAAAGGAAGTTGCCTTTGCTGTACAGATGCTTATTGTATATGCCTGAATAGGGTGATTGTAAAGGAGAGGCAATGCTCAGGCCTGGAGGTGGAGGGGCCTGCGAGGAATATGGCCTCACAGTCCCTGAAGGAGAGCCATGCATAGCAAGAGGATGCTAAGGGAGCCACATAGGACTCAGTGGAAATCCAATGATCCTTCCTGGTTTGATGAAGAAGGGCTTTGCGGGGAGCTGGGTTCAAAATACTGGGGTTTTTATTAATATCTCTACTTCCTCAAAAGCTTAGTGCAACCAATGGCTCTCAATGTCCATCCACTGAGGACTTGTTATATGGGCAGTGGGTCATTCTGGAGGCAATCTCAACCACTTGCACATGCTTGCCTTGACCTTCAGACCTTGCCTCCAGCAGCTTCTCCTCATCTTCTACTTCCCTTCCAGTCCTCTGAGACCTGCTAGGCCTGGAATCCTGCACGTTGCTTCCCCTAGGTCTCTGCTCTGGCTGTTTCCTTTTGCTGGAAGAACATGGTTTCTTTCTCCACCTCGACCTCCCCAGTCTTTGCCTGGCCAAGCCTTCAGCTCCCTGACTTAGTGAGGTTAGTGGTGCTCAGAACTCTGTGTTCTAATCTAGAACTTTGCTCTAAGTTTATACTGCTGAAAGGTCTGGTTGCCTTCCATTGCTCCTTTTCCACTCAACAATATTTTTTCTATATTTTATTTTAAAATTTATTTGTTTTCATTTTATTTGAGAGAGGGAGGGGGGAAAAAGAGCTTTGATTTGCTGGTTCACTCCCCAAATGCCTGTAAATAGTTAAGGGTGGGCCAGGTCAAAATCAGGAACCTGGAACTCAATCCAGGTCTCCCATGTGGGTACCTGGTACCCAAGCACTTAAGCCGTCATCCGTTGCCTCTCCATATGTGTTAGCAGGAAGCTAGGTCAGAAACAGAGGGAACAGGGTCTAGAACCCGCACTATGATATGGGATATGGGCATCACAATCCAGGCCTTAACTGCTGCACTACTTATGTATGATTCCCTTTAAGTATCTTCATTGGAGTGGTGTTATATCTCCAAATTTACATAGGGAAAATGGCTTTGTTTATTTTCCAATCTAGAATCCAGCAACATTTCATTCCTTAAAGTAGAATAAGGGTTCCAGTGGTCTGGGCAAAGAAGGTTGAGAGTTTTTTATTTTACTTTTCTATAATTTATTGAATTTTATTCTATTTTTGAGAGGCATAGAGACAGAGATAGACAGTGAGCGTGAGACACACAGAAAGAACTCCCATATGCTGGTTCATGTCCCCCAAATACCTGTAAGAATGAGAACTAAGCCACGAAGAAGCTGAGAGCTGGCAACTCAATCTAGGTCTCCCATATTGGTGGCAGGGATCCAGCCACTTGAACCCAATTACTTGAGCCATCACCACTGCCTCTCAGGGTGCCCATTAGCAGGAAGCTGGAGTGAGAAGCAGAGTCAAGACTTAAATCCAGGAACTCTTATATGGAATGAGGATGTCCTAAGTGGCAAGTTAGCCACTGTACCACATGCCTGCCCCTCCACAGGCTTAGCCCTGAAGGTCTGGTTGCTACCCACACTTTCTACCCTACCACACACAACTGCTCTGTAGCCAGGCTGACTTTCCCTTATCTGTCAGCCTGGTTCCAGCTTCAGATATTTGAACATCCTGTTTCATCTTCCTGAAAAGCTCCCTGCACTTACCCTTGGCCTGGTTTCCTGCTCTAGTAGGCTGCTTCTTAAATGTGGAATCTTAGAAAAGTCTTCCCTGTTTCCCAGGCTAGAGCAGAGCCCCCATTAATAGCTCTCATAGCAGCTTATCCCGTATCTGTCGAAACTATAATCATATCCTGCGTGCCTTGTTGTTCAACAGGCAAAATGTAAACTCTGTGAGGACTGGAGCCATGTCTGACTTACTTGGTGTATGGGTGCAAGTGCCTAGATATTGGCTTTGTACCAATAAATGTCTTTTAAAAATGAATAAGTTATTGTGCTCGCTTTGGCAGCACATATACTAAAATTGGAATGATACAGAGAAGATTAGCATGGCCCCTGCGCAAGGATGACACGCAAGAATGAATAAGTGACTAAGAGACAACGTGAGAACTCTCAAGGCTTATCCTCTAAATGACCCAAGCACTTAGGCAGGAAAAATTAAATAAGCAATGGAGCTTCTCTTGAGCAGAAGCCAAGGGAAGTCCATCTCTATGTGGAGCACCTAGATCAGAGCCTGGCCTGTTGTAAATGCTCAGAGAATATTACTAGCTGAATAAGCATTCCCTTTTCCATCTACACATATCCCTCCCTCGATGGTGATCTCATCCAGGCCCATGGCTGTAAATGCCATCTATAAACTGATGACTCCCCAGATTATAACTCCAGCCTGGCCCTCTTCCCAGAACTCATATATTTAACTGCATATTTGACATGTCCACCTGGAATGTCTACTTGGCATCACAAACTTATCATGGCTCAAACAAAACATTTTGTTTCCCATGCCCACCTTACCCATCTCAATCTTTCTTTTCACCGTTCAGGCCACAAGTGTAGCTAGAGTCATCCTTGACTGCTCTTATCCCATCATATTCTGCATTCAAATTCATCACAAACTGTCAGCAACATCTTCAGAATGTACTTAGAATCGGATCATCTCTCATCCTGTCTCTGCCAGCACCACACAGGTCCAAGGCCCATCACTTCTCACCTGGATTGTTCCAATAGCCTCCAACTGGCCTCTCTGTTTCTAATGGCTTGCTCCATGCTCCATCCAGTAGCCAGGTCATCAAGTCTTGGCTCAAATGGCACCTTCTCAGAGAGACCTTAAAACAAGAATTCTTCACCCTGTCACTTGGTTTTCTTATTGTACTTTATCCACTGCACTTACCAGCATCCCTAAATATTTTTCTTGTTTATTATCTTTTATTCTCCTACTGGAATATAAGTTCCATGAAAAGAGAACTTCTCAGCCAGCGTCGCGGCTCACTTGGCTAATCCTCCACCTGCAGCGCGGGCATCCCGGGTGCTAGTCCCGGTTGGGGTGCCGGATTCTGTCCCAGTTGCTCCTCTTCCAGTCCAGCTCTCTGCTGTGGCCCGGAAAGGCAGTGGAGGATGGTCCAAGTGCTTGGGCCCTACACCTGCATGGGAAACCAGGAGGAAGCACCTGGTTCCTGGCTTTGGATCAGCGCAGCGCGCCAGCCATGGCAGCCATTTGGGGGGTGAACCAACGGAAGGAAGACCTTTCTGTTTTTCTCTCTCTCTCTCATGGTCTAACTCTGCCTGTCCAAAAAAAAAAAAAAAAAAAGAAAAGGAAAGAGAACTTCTCCTCTTTTGTTCTCCTTTGCATCCCCAGCATCTAGGACAGTGCTTGTCTCATTTAAAAATATTCAGTAATATAAATCTGAACCAATTCTAGTTCTGCTTCTGCAGAGTCAGATTTTCTCCCAATCAAAATGAAAATGCCAGAAATCAGGCACCAACCACCTGTCCCTTTATTTGAAACCCTAGAATAATTTGAGGATTAACTGGAGACCTCTTTGCATGTAATTACAGAGTGACACTGAGGTTATCTACTGAGTCAGAGAGGGCTCCTCAGCTCCCAGGGCAAACTGCAGAATCCAATCCTGTACTGGAGCTAATGTGATCTGTTATAGACATTCCTCCAGATGGGCTTTGAGTTTGGGATCTGTGACATTTGGACTCAGTCCATATTACTTAGGGTGGTTCTCAACTGAAGTGAAGAGTTTTCCCTCCAGTAGATAATTGACACAATCTGCAGACATTTTTGTTTATTTAAATAGGATGTGCAACACGATTGGCATCTAGTCGGTAGAGGTCAAGGAGGCTGTTAAACATTGTTAAATAAAAGTTGTAGGAGGCCAGTGTTTCAGACTAAGCTCCTGCCCTAGGCCCCAATAGGCCAAACTAACAATCACAATGGAGGAGCCGGTGCTGTGGCGCAGTGGGTTAACACCCTGGCCTGAAGCGCCGGCATCCAATATGGGTGCCGGGTCTAGTCCAGGCTGCTCCACTTCCTATCCAGCTCTCTTCTATGGCCTGGGAAAGCAGTAGAAGATGGCCCAAGTCCTTGGGCCTCTGCACCCACGTGGGAGACCTGGAAGGAGCTCCTGGCTCCTGGCTTCGGATCCGCGCAGTTCCGACCATTGCAGCCATCTGGGGAGTGAACCATTGGATAGAAGACCTCTCTCTCTCTCTCTCTCTGCCTCTCCTCTCTCTGTGTAACTCTGACTTTCAAATAAATAAAAATAAATCTTAAAAAAAAAAATCACAGTGGAGTCACTCATACTACGGTTCCACCTTACCAAAGCTAAATTGTTAATTGGCCTTCCCAGAAATCAAGAGAGATAACAGCCAAGTGTCCCAGGCTAGTGACAGCACAATAATGAAGTTTCCTCTACTTTAATCCTTTTTTAAAAAATTATTTATTTATTTATTTATTTGAAAGGAAGAGTTATACACAGAGAAAAGAAGAGGCAGAGGGAGAGAGAGAGGTCTTCCACCCACTGGTTCACTCCCCAATTGGCCACAATGGCTAGAGCTGAGCTGATCCAAAGCAAGGATTCAGGAGCTTCTTCCGGGTCTCCCATGCAGGTGAGGTGCAGGAACCCAAGGACTTGAGCCAAATTCTACTGCTTTCCCCTGCCACAGTAGAGAGCTGGATCAGAGTAGGGCAGCCAGGACTCGAACCAGAGCCCATATGGGATGCTAGCACTGCAGGCAGCGGCTTTACCCACTATGCCACAGTGCCGGCCCCAGTAATTTTGTTTTTTTGACAATGTCTTCAAATGCACATGACATCTCCTCAAACAAAAAATATTTTGGGTTTTAAATGTTAATAAGCACCAAAGTTGAGAAGTCATGGTTTCAATAACACTAATGAAAATTGATAGCTAGTGCCATTAACCTTTGCCATGTGCCAAGTACTGTACTACATACTTGACTTGTACTATCTCACTATCTCCTGATTGTCTCTGAGAAACAGACTGTTACAATCCCCATTTTACAAATGTGGAAACAAACGCAGAGGGATGGACTCACTTGCCCAAGGTTGCATCCATTAGTAGGCGGCAGGGCAGGGATGCATACCCTGCCTTCAAAGTCTGCCTTTCAATATCTGCTCTGGGTGGCTCTGCCCACTGATTGGAAGCAGAGGGGACCTCTTTGGCCCCTCTGGATGTGCCTGACTTAATCTGTTGTCCTCATGAATAGCAGAGTGTTAGTCTAGTCAGGCGATGCTTGGCTATTGGCCAGAGGTGAGGGTTCTCTTCCAAGTTGTCTCAGCCTGTCTGGCCTTGCTCTCCCTGCACTGCAGTACAGTCCTTGGCACCAAGGCTTAGCTACCTTGCCAGTCCCAGGCTAGTGCCAGTCCTTCTTTATGGGGAAGAAGCTTCTGGATTTAGGCCTAGGCCTTATACTCTCCCATAGGGCCCCTCCTGTCTGGGTGGGGGTCCTTGAATCAATTCTGGAGTTGCAGGGTTATCTCACACTTCCTTTCAGATAAGGGTGAGTTGGAACTCCTAGGCCAGGAAAGGGCCCGAGGTCCCCAAAAGCTTGAAAAGTGATTATCGGACAGGGTTGAGAACAGAGCCATCCTGGGCACTGGTGAGGTGGAGGTGGAGCAGACTGTTGTCCTTGCTAGCTAGTTTGTGCATAAGGAAAACTGCAGGCCCTGCAAGGAATCCCTCAGGCTGCTTGTGAAGAGCATCTCTGAAGGGCTTTCTGAGGGCCTTGGGAAAGTCTCATAGCCAAAGAGGAAAGGTGATTCCATTCAGGGGAGATCAGGGCAGTCAAAGACCATGCTAGAGTCAAGTTTGGAGTGTTGCTGGCTGAATTATCCCAAAATACCCATCCTTCCATCCATCCACCTGTCATCTGACATGTAGTTCAGGTCCCCGTAAGGACTCAGTCTACAGGCACTCTATTCTGAAACACCCAATCATTTTTCTCTAGGAGGTTGGTATAGCCCAAAGATTCCATTTACCACATTAGACTGTGGAGTCAGCCCAGGATTCAAGTCCCAACTCTGTCACTTCCTAGCAGTATGACTTTACACAGAGGACTTCACCTCTCTGAATCTTAGTTTCCTCATCTGTGTCATAAGGACCAATAGTTCTTAACTCATGGAGCTGTTGTTAGAATCCAAGGAAATAATGGGTCCAAAATACCTAACACATGGTAGCAATAGCTACCATTTACCATATTTTGGCTAGGTCTTTAGATGTATTCGTCTATTGTTATTTTTTTTTTTTTTTTTTGACAGGCAGAGTGGATAGTGAGAGAGAGAGACAGAGAGAGAAAGGTCTTCCTTTTGCCGTTGATTCACCCTCCAATGGCCACCACGGCTGACGTGCTGCGGCTGGCGCATCGCGCTGATCCGAAGGCAGGAGCCAGGTGCTTCTCCTGGTCTCCCATGGGGTGCAGCACCCAAGCACTTGGGCCATCCTCCACTGCCTTCGCTGGCCTGGAGCGACAGAATCCGGTGCCCCGACCGGGACTAGAATCCGGTGTACCAGCACCGCTAGGTGGAGGATTAGCCTATTGAGCCGCGGCACCGGCCTAGATGCATTCTTTATTTTGTATTTTAATTTTTTTAAAGGTTTATTTATTTATCTGAAATTCAGAGTTACACACAGAGAGAAGGAGAGGCAGAGAGAGAGAGAGACAGGGAGAAAGGTCTTCCATCTGCTGTTTCACTCCCGAATTGGCCACAATGGCCGAAGATGTGCTGATCTGAAGTCAGGAGCCAGGAGCTTCTTCCGGGTCTCCCATGCAGGTGCAGGGGCCCAAAGATTTGGACCATCTTCTACTGCTTTCCCAGGCCATAGCAGAGAGCTGGATCGGAAGAGAAGCAGCGGGACTTGAACCAGCACTCATATGGGATGCTGGCACTGCAGGCAACGGCTTTATCTGCTATGCCACAGCGCTGGCCCCTTAAATTTTTGTTTATTTAGAGTTGGGCATTAGATACAATGGTTAAGATACCACTTGAGATCCCTGAATCCCACTCCTGTTTGAGTCCTGGCTCCACTTCCATTTTCTGCTTCCAACTAAGGCACACCCTGGGAGTCAACAGTGATGACT